TATATGAATTTATTCAGGGGAAACCCTTTTGGATCCCCCTCATCTTTAAATAAATTTACAAACGTTATACGCCGTTTCTGTAGTATATGCAGAGAAAAGGCTAAAACCCACAGGGGGGAAAAACACTCGATTAAAAAAAGAAACCACATAAGAACATTCAAACCGCAACAGAATTAACAAGTAAAATAAATAAATAAATAAATAAATAAATAAAATAAAAATAATGAAAGCCTTTAGATTTTACATTACGGGCGTTTTTTTTAACGTTTTGTGTGTTACATTTCTTTATCATATAATGTTCTTTACACTTAAACCATAAAATTCAGTTCAACAGCTATATCGCAAAATAATTTTAAAATAAGCATATCTTTAGAATTTCTGATACACAGTTTTGCGCTCTGCACGCAAAAATGTTTTTTTTTTTTTTTTTTTTTTTTTTTTTTTTTCCCGTACTGTGTTGCAGTTGCTCGCTTTGAAATCTTTGAGTTTGCTAATAAAAATTTCGTTCAAGTTTTACAAAATATCAATCAGATAATAAAAAAAAAATTCCAAGTTTGGGCTTCCAGATGCCCATATTAGGTTGGAAACGTATGTTATTCAAAATTTGATGGCTCTAGGTACCGTTGTTTTATCACAATGCGAGAAACATTTATGCAGATTTTCAATATTAATTTCTTTAAATGACACAGGGCAAACATTAGTGGCCAGAAACAACACAGCTTCAAATATGGGTTAGCCATGTGGCGCGTTTATTCCATGAAAAATTCAAGCAGTGGGCTAAACCGCATTTTACCAAGTGCATTAGTATGTCAAAATCTGAAAAACAAAAGCAATATAAAAATGACAAATTCAGAAGAAAACCAAGAAAAGAAGATATTTGCAATTATTGCAAAAAGAAAGGACACTGGGTAAAAGATTGTAAACAGTGGATTGCTGATGGAAGACCACCCAAGAATAGGTTAATGAAAACCAATGAAGGAAATACAGGCAGTGTAATACTGATATCCATTGACGAAGAGGCTAAGACTGATCAAACATCTTTTTGGATTGATAGTGGAGCTACAAGACATATCATGAATTGTTGTTTCACATACTTTATTGACTTTATGAAGTTTGATAGTCCCTGTAGCATCAAGGTTGCTGGAAAAGAAACTTTAGTTGCTCTTGGTAAAGGTACAGTATGTGTCAAAACAACTATTGGTAGTAAAATCCAAAGAATTTACCTTAAAGATGTTTGGTATGTCCCTGAGATAAACAGAAATTTATTTTCTTTACTTGCTGCTCAAGATAGAAATCCGAATAGTAAATTTATTTCAACAGTTACAGAATGCTGGTTAAAAGGTTAATGGTCAAGTAGTGCTTTTTGGAACTCGCAAAGTATATGGTACTTTATACAAGGCAGCTATCGAACCTATTATGCCTGATAAAATTATAGAAGTGCATGCTGCTGAAGCAGACAATTCCTTGTTAGAGTTATATCATCAGAGATGGGGACATCAAGATAAACGTCACATTAAGAACATGCTTGAGAAAGAATTAGGAATTAAAATCCCATTTGAAAGAAAATTGTGTGAACCATGCATTTTTGGCAAAGCACACCGTTTACCATTTGGCATAAGAAAGCCAGCCAGCAAGCCTGGTGAATTAATTTCAGCTGATGTCTGTGGACCTTTTGATGAATCTTTCCAGAAGAAAAGATACTTAGTTGTGTTTAAAGATAGCTACACAAAGTTTCGTTATGGGTATTTTATCAAGGAAAAATCTGCTGTTGTAAATATGTTACAACACATGCTTGCACACGCTAAAATTTTAGGACATTCAGTCAAAGAATTTCTCAGCGATAATGGAGGCGAGTTTGACAATGACAAAGTGCGTGCTATTTTGCATTCTGAAGGTATAACTCAAAGACTAACAGCACCTTATTCTCCTGAACAAAATGGCTCTAGTGAAAGAGACATACGTACAATAATCGAAATGGCAAGAACATTTAAGTACTCAAATTCTGAAGCTCATTTTCCTGCAGCAATGTGGGCTGAACTAGTCAACACTGCCATATATGTACTAAACAGAACTGGCAAATCATCAGTAGAAGGCATGAGTCCTTATGAGCTATGGTTTAAAAAGAAACCTCGAATTAAGCATCTTCGTATAGTAGGATCTGTGTGTTATGCCCATATTCCTAAACAAAGAAGAAGGAAAAAATGGATAATAAGGCTACAAAAGCTTATTTAATTGGTTATGATGGAGACGAAAGATACCGACTATGGATCAAAGAAACCAATAGTGTGATCTGTTCACGTGATATTATATTTAACGAAAAGCTCACAAATTGTGAAGAAAGGGTGCAGTTACCTATTCAAGATCAAGATAGCCTAATTTCTGGCTCTGAACATCAACAAAATTCAGAAAGAAAAAGATAAGTCAGAAAAGTTTCTTTGTGAAGAAGATAATTCAGAAAAGAATACAACAAAGAAATATCTGGAAATATATCAGAAGAACATTTTGAAAGACAAGCATGTGAAGATATTAATTTGCAAAATAATGCACAGTCAAGATACCTAAGAGATAGAGCTGACTTGAGAAAGCCAAAGCAAAGCGTTTTGAAGATTATATAATGATAAGTGAAGCTTTTATTATTGATTCTGAAGAGCCCGAATCTTATGAAGAAGCGATCAACTGTAAGCAAAGTGTTAATTGGAAAGAAGCTATGGATTCAGAGATGAAATCATTGATAGAGAATGAAACATGGAGTTTAGAAAAATTACCAAAAGATGCTAAAGCTATACCATGCAAGTGGGTTTATAAGATCAAAAGGAATCCTGATGGATCTATTGATAAATTCAAGGCTAGACTTGTTGCCAAAGGATGTACTCAACGTTTTGGAGTTGATTATGATCAAACGTTTAGTCCAGTAACAAAGTTAGGAAACTATTCGTTCAGTTTTGAGCATCGCAGCCAATGAGAAAATGCATCTTTCTCAGTTTGATGTCGGTTCAGCATTCTTATATGGAAAACTTGAAGAATCTATATACATGCAGCAACCAGAAGGATATAGTGACGGTTCGAAGAAAGTCTGTAAGTTGAAACGCAGTTTGTATGGACTTAAACAATCATCACGCTGCTGGAATAAATATTTTGGAGATTTTGTGTCACAGCTGGGCTTCAAGACAAGTGAAGTGAAGCTGATCCATGCTTATATATAAGAAACAATAACGGCAAGAAGCTAATCGTATGTTTATATGTAGATGATGGTTTTAGTAGCATCAACAGATCTACAAGAATCTGAAAAATTTCTCAGAGAATTGAAGTCGAGATTCAGAATCACAACTAAACCAGCAGTATACTTTCTTGGACTTGAAATTAAACATCTTGAAGATGGAAGTATTAAAATTAGTCAGCAAGCTTATGCAAGAAAAATTCTTCAAAAATTTGGGATGGAAGATTGCAAGCCAGTGTCAACTCCTATCCTGAAGGAAGGTCTAACTGAAAAGAAAAAGGAAGATAAATCAAACAGAGAAATTTTTCCTTATAGAGAAGGTGTAGGAGCTTTAATGTATCTTATGTTAGGCACAAGACCAGATTTAGCTTACTGTGTTGGCATTCTATCACGTTACCTAGAAAATCCTTCGAAAGATGATTAAAAAAAAAGTGAAACGTGTATTCAGATACATAGCAGGTTCTCTAACTAAAGGTGTTACATACAAGAATAAATACAAACCAGGAATTCTAGAATGCTATAGTGATGCAGATTTTGGAGGCTGTCAAGAAACAGGAAAATCAACGAGTGGAATAGTGATATTATATAGTGGTGGAGCTATATCATGGATTAGCCAAAGGCAATTAGTTGTTGCAACTTTCGACGACTGAAGCAGAAGTAATTGCAGCTAGTGAATGTTCTAGAGAAGTAATTTGTTTAAAGCGACTATTTAGTGATGTAACCAAGTTACGTGAAACTCCAGTAATTTAAGTAGGCAACGCCGCTGCAGTGAGACTGTCACAAAACCCGGAGTTTCATCGACGCACAAAACACATTGATATCAAGCACTTTTTCATACGAGAGAAAGTTCTAGAAAAGGAAATCATTGTGCAGCAGGTACCTACAGAGGCGCAAGTTGCTGACATAATGACTACTAAACCTTTATTTAAACCGAGACTGTTAATTCTTTGTGATAAGATGGGACTTTTGTGACTTTTTTCTTTTAATTTATTATTATTATTTTTTTACAAGGAGAAGTATTAAAGTATGTTAATAAAAATAATAATAATATAATATATAGTTTAGATAAGTTTTGGCAACAGTGAGTGTTTTCGTCATCAGGAGATCTTGCTTCGCGATACTGTCGTTCAAAAAAATAGATGTAGTCTGTAATTCCAATAAAAAGCATCGTATTTTTGCTCTGCTATTTGTTTTCTCTCTATTTTTAGAAATACCTTTTTAGGTTATGTATTTTTTAAGAAATACTTTTTTCATCGACGCACAAAACACATTAACAAACTAAGTAGATGCACTTCTTAAAAATGTTACTTTTTTTAACTTTTTAATCAGATTGATTTAAATAAAAATGCATTTGATTCATGATACAGCTATTTTAAAATTAAATATTTTCAAAGAATTACATTACATATTTTTCACTTTTTAAATATGCGGAAGGGATACTATAACATTACCATGTTAAGTCTACATTGCATGTTCATCTAATATTCTATAAAATTTTCCGCTATTCCACCTGGAACCTACTGATAAACTATACTAAACTTTAAAAGAGTCCCTTTTAGCGATCATTAATTTTTTTTAATTAAAATAAATTTGTATGCGCTAGGTATGTAATAAAGCAAATATAGCTTCAAAGCAGAACTTTTAATTATAAATCACGAGCTAAGTAACTATACGTCATTTAGCCGTTATGTTTAACTCAGCCGCAAAATCACGCGCTCTTAGAAATTCAGTGATTACAATTTATTTCACGGGCCTTTTGTTTTTAGTCACGTCAACAGTTTTTCGCATGTTGATTCAGCTCCTTTTCTAACACGAAAATATTTGAAATTTAGGCAGCTGCTTATTCATTATTCAGTGTTAATGTATCAGATGTTTCTATAGTCCTACCAGTTTTAAAGAATTAAAAATGGCTAACGAAAAACAAAAGTCTCTAGCCAAGAGAAGAATTACCATAAGGAAAAAAGCGAAACGTTCTGTTCCTGCTAAAGTGATCAATTTCCGTCCCAGCATAAGAAAAGTTCTCAAGAGAATAGAACCGAATATGTCCTTAAAACCAAAAGCGCTTGTTATCCTCAACGATGCTTTAAACCCTGTGAACGTTAAATTAGTTGATATCTGCAATAGAAGATTTCGGCCTACCAAGAAAAAGCCGGAGATGGGCGTTGAGGCGGCCTATAAAGCTGTAACAACTGTCTTTAACAATGAAGTACAAAAGCATGCTTTGGCAGCTGGACACAACGCTCTCTTGAAATTCCGTTACGGGTATACATTATATAAACGGAAAGGAACAAAACAGACCAGGCGAAAACAGAAGGAAAAACGAAGAGTTGCTTTGGCTCATGAATTCAAAACTGGAGTTCCTGCCATTGTTAGAATTGTGTACCCTGAAGCTAAGATCGATCCTAAAGCAAGAAACGTGATGTGTACCTTTCTGAACGTGTTGTCTGCAAGGATAACGAAGAAAGTAAAGGAACTGAATTCAGAAACAGCTACAGCCGTCGATGTTAAGAATGCAGTTGAAGCCATATTACCTCGTACAATGGCTGAACATGCTAAGGCGGAAGGGAGTAAAATGGTGTTTACTTTGGAAATCAATGGTTTCACTTTCATTCCAAAATATCATAAAAGAAGGAAAAGAAGAAATGGAGGTAAATTTTGTTGAATATTTCCTTGTTGTTGTTATTGTCAATGCTCACTTGTCTGACCTATAGTCAGTCCACGAAATTCCTCGTGGCAAGGAGCCAAAGTTTACGAGTGTCGTTAGCAACAGCGTTGAGTACAGTAACAATGCGATTTAGCTTAGTTCCGGCCCAGCTAATGATTCAGAGCACCCTCCTGGGGGGGAAAGGGTCCGTGGGCTTCCCACCAGCAGCCTCTCGAGAGAACTTTCGCCTCGCCGCATATTTAGAGTGCCTCCGCGCCGCACGGACACTGTGCATTTACAAATATCCATGCCATCTCCAGGATTCGAACCCGGGCTTTTCGGCACCGCAGTCAGCCACGCTAACCACTATACCGGTTGGGGAGTGAATATTTCCTTTTTTTTTTTTTTTTTTTTTTTAAATCTAATAACACTGGTAAGCAACAAGTTCATCAAAACAGTTTAATCGTTACGATAGTCTGAAATCCTTATCCGACTGCACTTATTATGCTTGTTAGATTAGACTTTTGAAAAAGAAAATACGTTTCATATATATAGATACATGTATCTAATATCAATAAGTGCGCAGTCATGAATCCGGTACTTTTAACTTCTGGCTGTAGGCATGGCTGGGTGGTTAACAAAACTAATTTCGGCGAATTACCATCTTTATTTCTAGGCATATCAAAAATGATTTCTTTGGCAGAAAAATTACCTTTCGATCATATTTGAATACAGATAATTTTTATGTACACAGATCAAAAGCTAGAACGTCATTTTAAGCAGGGAAGCATAAAGGCACAGAGCTGTTTACATGACTGAAGTCAGGAAAAAAAGGAAGTGTAGTTCTCGTGGCTCAGCATTTATACCTCGTACGTGCAGAGAGTATTCTAAGCTCAGTATTTGTTTTAGTTACCTATTTCAACCAGTGTTACGTAATTTGGAATGATTTCGAATTTGGGAGAACAGACGAATTTAGGGGGGACAGCACCAAGTCTAGAATGTTAATAATTTTGAGGTCGCCAATTATTTTTTAGAGGAGCCATCGTATTTTGTTAATGGTGCAAAGCGTATCGTTGAACCAGGAATGTACTTAATTAAATTGTGAATTTAAAGGTCTATTGCCAGTTGGTTCTACTTAGTTTAATAATTTTGTTTTATATTTTATATTTTACGAATATACACACACATATTATATACATATATACAATTACAAATTACAAATTGCAGTTTTTGATTTTTTGATTTTCGTGAAGTTGCGTTTCGTGAGATCACAACTATTCTGGTGTTGGGGGGAGGAGAGAAGAGCCAGCGAATAATCAGAAATACCTTTTTTTTTTCTTTCAAAAGATCTGTGCCTTAAGATGCCACTTACTTTAATATGTATTTACAGTGTTAAGACGTTTATTCAGATAATCACAGCTCTGTTTTCAACACGTTGTTTGACATGGGTAAAATAAATAAAGATTAATATAATAATTTAAAAATATCATTAATAAACACAGGCTAATTAGAAAATGGTCATATGAATCGTAAAATAGCTTGAGTTAACTTGCTTATTTTGAGAAATGCAAATTATTACTGTTATATATGACATTCAAGAAAAATCAAACAAACATAATTATTTCGCGAAAATTAATGGAACAAATCATAATTAATTCGCTAAAAGTGTAGCTAAGAGTGTTTAGGACAAAAAGAAAAAAAAAAATTAGTTTCTGTACACAGGGTCAAGCTTCGTCAAGAAATTAGGGAAAATTTCGCTGCGTCTTCTAGAAATTTTCCCTGTTTATCAGATTCGCTGTCCCTTGAGAATAGCCTCTAAGGCAACGATTCTCAACCGGTGGTACGCGTACCACTGGTGGTACGCAAAGAAACAAAGTATTTTTAACTATTAAATTCAAAAATTAAATAACCAGATATCCCGTTCAATATTTTCTCTAACACTCGTAAATTTATGCGATCTGAGCTTTGTTTAAGCTCAATAACTGCTGAAATAATACATTTTTATTTTCAAAAATATCCTTTTAGTTACAGGCATAACAAAATTTGTCATAAATGATGTTTTTAAAAGGAGGAACAGAAATGAACGTTGTATTTAATAGAAAATAAGTTCCTATAAAAAGATAATAGTATCTCATTAATTCTTTTAGAGTTGATCGATTTATTAGCATGTCTATACTTTATATCGCCACCATTTCCGGGCTCATATTACTGTATTTTAAATTAGAATAATATTTTTACGTCAATTTGCTGTCACCAACAGTAGGTATTATGTCTTGTTGTTACTTCGTATTCTTCACTTTTCTACGTGATTTGAGAATATTATCGTTTGTTTTTGAAAACCTTGTAATATATTGTGCATTTAAATATTTATGAGAAAATAATAAAACTAAACTAGAATTTTAAAATGGAAAAATAGCTAGGATTGGCTAAGTGGAAAAGGGACGATTCAAGGTGATTTATCCAGAACAATCTACTAGCACTAAGAATATTGAAATATAATTAAAGTTATTTATCATTTGGGTTTACTTGGAACGGAGGTGAAATGGATCCTCAACCTCGATGTGTTGTTTGCGGTGAAATATTATCCAATCAAAGTATGAAACCATCCTTTCTTGAAAGGCATCTTGAATCTAAGCAGGTTCAATGGAAGTACTGATATAAAGAACATTGTTGAATTATTACTTTACATACGTTTCGAAGAAGATAAACGAATGGCCGAAGAGTATTTATTTTGTGAATCTCTTCATGATAGAGCAATTGCAAGTGAAATTTTCAAAATAATTGCAATTTTATGCCTGAGAATGATATTCCTTAGAATAAGTGTATTGCCGTGTGCAGTCGAGAAGCTCGGGCTTTAAAAGGAAAACATTCCAGTGAGATTTCTCAAATAAAAAAGGTCGTACCTGAAAATAAATTTACTCACTGTTCCATTCATCGTAAAGCTTTAGTAGCCAAAACAATCCTAGCTTTAAATTCAAGAATATTTACGATTTTATGTCAAAAGATGAGCAGTGAACATGAAACGGTTTTGTTACATTCCGAAGTAACGTGGTTATCCAGAGGCAAAGTTTTAAATCGTCTTTTTTAACTTCGATTCAAATTTTCAGTGAATTATGGTTAGCGCGTTTAGCATATTTAGCTGATATTTTGGAAAGTTAAATGCATTAAATTAAGATTACAGGGACAAAGTGTTAATTCGTTTACCATTAGCTATACAATAAATACAATGATAAAAAAATTTTTAAAAAAAAAACTCGATCTAGTAATCAGAGAATTGGATAATAATATTTTAGCTTTTTATCTCTTTTAAAAAGTGTTCTAACAGAAAACAATTTGAAAATAAAAGAATTAGCACCCGAAATTTAAAATCATTATTTTTCATTGATAAATAATTTCAACATGTATTTTTCCAAGGATTATGAAGAAGGAAACTGGGTTAGAAATCCATTTTGTTCAAATGACCTAAAATTTTATCTCGTGAAGAAAAAGAACAATTGATTGAAATTTCCTGTGATCAAACTCTAACTGAATATTTCAAAAATAACAAACTTGTTAACTTTTGGATGAACCGGAAAAGAGAATGTAAAGGCATTTCAAACTGTTAAATATGTATTGCCTTTTGGTATAACCTTATTTGTGTGAACAAGGATTTTTTTTCCATGTTATATTTGAAATATAAATATAGAACGAAATTAAAACTGGATCCTAATTTACTGTTAAAACAAAGTAAAATAAGACCAGACGTAAAGAAATTGTTCTCGCTTAAACATGTCCAAATTTCACACGAAATTTCAGAATTAATGTAATTATAACTTAAATTTTGATTATTAAAATGGTAACCTATTTTTAATCTAATATTTTTTTTATGTGGGCACCTTTAAAACAAATAGCCAATAGGTTGTGCATCTGACAAAATATATTGTTTTAAATATTTCTATTGAGAAACTGAGAAATAATCATTGTACAATGTAGTGGTGGTACTAAAAGTTTTTCAATTTTTGTTTAGATGATGCTCATTAGTCAGGCTGCTCTACGTTTTCTGATTTGTGCAGTATATTTTGGGAAACCCTTATTTAGTGGCGCCATCTGTTGGAAGATTAATGAAAATTCAACATTGTCCTGCTTCGTAGTAGAGATTTTCTAAAAATTAAAAATATCAGGCAACATTAGCTTAAATTATATTCAAATAATGCATATAAATGAATGTACTTAATGTTATTAGAATATAAATAAGAAGAAGAATTAATGAGTTGTAAGATTATGCTTGTTGTAGGAAATGTGATATTACGCAGGAAATGTGGTGATTTCATTGTATTACTCAAAAATTTTTATTCTAAAAATTGATCTTCATAAATTCTTGAAAATTTTTTGTTTCTTCTTTAGCTTCCGGAATAAGCATATATTTTTTAAACTTATGCTATGCTTCATCATTAGGCTTGTGTTTAATTCATTACCTCTGCTGCATGAATATGAATGTTACATGATATGAACGAATCATAAATAATTGTGTTACTTATTGTCTTGCAATATGAGCATAGACAGCGCTAAATTTAAAAGGTAGAGAAGGAAACTATTTCTTGAAACGGAATGTCTTCAAACTGGTAATTTGGTCCGAGGTTCGAATCCCGCGAACGGGCTGGCTTGCATGGGTGTTTTCGTGGTTTTCCCCATGTGTAACTTGTATACGAGCTAGTTTCCCCCTAGAAAGCCCTCCACGAAGGCATTTCTCCCTTTAGGCAGATAGCCCTCGTGTGCTTTGCCATAACTGAATAATCAAAATCATATTTCACTTGTGAACCTTCATCATGTGTTCATGCCAATATTCAGAACACAGGATGTAATTATTGCATATGCCTTTTATTATTTTCTTTCTTCAAATACCATGCAATTATTATTTGGGCTAAGTACTTTAAGCATACTTAAACTTTAATTGGACTTTGAAAGAAATTAGTAAAAAAGATGTTAGCTTAAATAATTATGATTCTCAAGTATTTTAAACAAACTGTTTTAGCCCGTTATTTTTGGTAATCCTCCTGATCTGAATCAGCAGCCAGATCAAGTTCATGGATGTTATTGCAGCTAACAGGTAAGCTTTGCGTCCGTGGTTGGTTTAGGTTACGGGAAAGTTTTATGTGACATTGCGGTGTTGCCGAGTTCGATCCATATTTTGACTGAGAATTCTTTGGGAAGAAGATAAGTTCGAAGATCTTTCCCCCTCCCTCTACCAGCAGCCTTTTGAGAGGCCTTTCGGATTTCCGGCATTTCAAGTGCCTCATGCTGCAAATGCACTAAACACTTATAGACCCATGCTTTCGCCGGGATTCGAATTTGAGCCTAAAACTATGGCCAGGAAGCAGCCAGCTTCCCAACTACCATGCGAACTACCTAATAGGCATGAATACAATATAAAATGTTAAAAAGAAATGGTTTGATTTAGTTTCTTTAATTAGGACAAAACATGCAAAGGATGCATCTAAGGGAAAGTATGCCTTTACGGTGGACAAAAAGGATACACACGTGGGGAAACTAAATGAAGTTTTAAATTTACAATTCTTTGCAATGGGATATCCTAATCAGATGCAAATTCTTGAATGATTGAATGATTTTTCGGTACTACTTGATTTTCACTTTTGAGTCATTAGATTATTTTTGAAACAGGAGACATGAAAAATGCGCAACGTCCTCGCAGGGACTCGAACCTGAACCACTTGATTACGTGCCGAGTGTGCTAACGTTACACTACGAAGACATGCAGAAAGGAGGGAGGAAATACTCCCTCTTTTAAACGGCCTCTGGGATTAGGGGACCCATTCGCCAAATTCTGGTGGTGAGAAATCACCATTCAGTTCGGGCGCCAATGTAGAATCATTAAGTTTTTTCGAAGCAGGAAACCTGGACCTATCGAATACGCGCCCAGTGTGCTACTGTTACACCACGAAGGCATGCATAAAGGAGGGGAAACTACCTCCTACACTTGTTCCCGCTGTCAAAGGGAGCCAAGATTATCGCCAAGTTTAAACTGCTGGCATATAGTTTGTTGTTGCCGTACCTCAGCGACTCTTTTTAATATAGCATGAAAAGGCTTACATTTCCCAGAGGATTTCCACCATATCTATTCTGAAAGATAACGACTCTAGATGATGTCGAGCCGTTCTCTTTTGCTTTTTGTTTCGTCATGAGTCCCAAAATTTTTCCACATTTTGGCTGTGAGCACCCGTTATTAGATCAGCAAAATGAAATGTGTCATTCTTAGTTATAAAAGGTGTTTCTCCCACCTTCTTAGCGTGCCTTCGTAGTGTAGTGGTTTGCACACTGGGCCGGTATTCCAAAGGTCCGCAGTTCGATTCCCGGCGAAGGCGCTTGCTTATATTTCATATTTCCTGCTTCCAAAAAATACCTAATGTCTCTACAGTTAAATGGCTGTAACCAGCGTTTTCAAGCTCGTCTGTTTTTTAGTGTTACGATATGTCCAACTTCGGTAAGATAGTTTCCCCCTTCAAAGAGGCTATAGGGTTGCCAGAAAATGGCAAGGAAAGGTATGGTTGCCATATTTGGCAAGAAATCGTGCATTTTGCGAAAAAAACTGGCGATATGACATAGATGGATGGAGAACCTTCTAGAACGAATTCTTACCGGTTTGGACCAGAATGTTCTCGAGGGCAGCCCAAAAGCTATATAAACCCTGCCTGGAGGCGGAGTAGCAGTCAGTTAGTAGTCAACGAGTGAGTGTCTCGTAGTGTAGCAGCGAGATGATCGTCATTCTATCGAGTTGGTCGCGAGTTATTGCCTCCTCGAGTTTTATCTTGAGTGTGTTGAGCTCCGAGAACGACCAAACCGAGCCGGGAGCTATACTCTAGTGCTTAACTTCGAGTGCAATGCGAGTTGTAGTGTGGAGAGTCTCGAGAGTACGTAGTGTTCCGAGAACGACTGAACCGAGTCGGGAGCTGTACTCTGGTGCTTTGCTGTGAAGCTGTCTCCACCGTTATAGCCTGATAGACTGAAGGCCACGTCGCTGATTGTTTCAGCGTGCTTGTCGTAGTTTCCGACGACTGTAAACGTGTTTTTGGAATTGTCCTGAATAATACTGGCTAATAAATTGTTTTCATTCTTCATCAAAGATTATTGTTAATCCCTCCAAGTCCCCGAACCCGTGCAGAAACGCAACAATAGGCTTGCCAACGGTATGAATATATTGTCGATCCTTCCACTGCTTGATCTGCAGTCGTTGATATCAGTCTGCTTGCTTTCCGATTTAGAACCCGAAAAAGAAGGGAATTGTTACATTCACGGCGTAACTCCGCAGATTATACACTGTTGTGGAAGTACCCTGCCACCGTGATTTACTCGCCGCACGAAAAAACTCTTGTCAATTTCATCTATTTTTCCAATCCCACCTATTCGTCCTTTAAAACTAAGTCTAGCGAACAAACCTGACTCTTAAACTTCTCCGTGTTAATTGTGGTATTTTACTGTTTATCGCACCACTTAGCGACGTTAGTTCCCCTGCCCAACAGTAGATGAAAGGCAGCACTGTTAGGAATGGTATTCTGGAACCACTAAACCGGTTGTTGAATCGAACACTGAACAGAACAGAAGAACTTTTCCCTTACTCTTCAGTAAATTAAAAATTGCCAACTTTTTTTTAAAAATATTTAATTGGAAAAAGAACTACTACGATATTACGCTGTTGTTCATCAAATTCGACAAACAGAAGTCGAAAGTGTAAGTACCATTTTTACATAAATGCTAAAATAAATAAATAAAAATCCCCTGCCTGTTAGCATGCCTTCGTGATCTAGCGGTCAGCACACTCGGCGCGTATTCGAGAGGTCTGTGGTTCGGGTCCCGGCGAGGGTATTGCTCATTTTTCATCGTTTCTACTTCAAAATACCTAATGCCTCTACAGTGGCACCCGAACTATAAAAGGTGATGAATGATGATTCTCCACCACCAGGACTTGGCGATTGGGTCCATTAATCCCCAATCGCCCTTTAAAAGGGGAGGTATATAAGGTATTTCTCCCGTCTTCTAAGCATGCCTTCGTGGTGTAGTGGTCAGCACACTCCGCGAGTATTCGAAAGGTCCGTGGTTCAAGTCCCCACCGACGGCATTATTCATTTTTAATCTCTCCTGCTTTCAAAAAATACCTAATATCTCTACAGTAATATCACTCGATTGGTCACTTTCAGCAAATACACTGAACAGAAAAAGTGTTTGTGTGTGTGAATACGGCGAAGCCTCCAGGGCTATATGCCCAATGGAAGACTTTCTAAGGGAAAACTGGCTCGTATACACGTTACGCATGGGGATAACCACGAAAATTCCCATGCAGCCAGCCCGTTCGCGGGATTTGAACCTAGGACCGAACTACCAGTGTTCAGCGATTTTACCGCTCGGCCGCTGGTGGACCCAATGAACAGAAAAAAGACATATGATTTCACGCTGTTTGGCTTACATAATTTCGCGGTTTATGACGGGGATCAAGCAGTACTGACTTTTTTTTTAATTTTTATTTTCGAGATATTGTACATATTTTAAAAATCTAAGTAGAAAATAAAATTCAGTGTACTAAAATAACTTAACATTGTTTATCTAACTAAAAAGTATATACTTTTAGTATTTTTATTGGTAAAATTGGAACTGAAAGATAATGTAATGCAATAAGAAGTAATTAACTATGACTTATACATAATACAATTCCCTCTCCTTTCTAAATTTTATATAATTTGGCTACGTGGGAGGAAGAGAACACAATCCCTAGCTACGAGCCCGTGAAATACAATATTTGGATATTTCAACAGAAATCTTTAGTAATGCTGCGTCCAACCCAAGAGGAAGTAGACTGAATTTTTTAAGTCTTGACACAGTCATTTATGTCATAAGCTAGAAACGCAGAAATATTTTTAATTTTTAAGAATAATTGATCAATTGTTTAGTTTTACCTGGAATATAATCTAGCTGGCTGCCGTAGCAAATTACTTAAATCTATATAATTTGGCTGCCATATTGAGATGATTCAGACAAATTTTATTAGCTTATAAAGTGTTCCTTCCGCCTTCCTAGCATGCTTCATGGTGTGGTGGTCTGCATGCTGGGCGCGTATTCCAGAGAACCGCGGTTCGAATCCCGGCGAAGGCGTTGCTCATTTTTCATGTCTCCTGCTTCCAAAAAATGCTAATTTCTCTACAAAAGCTAATAAATTTTATTTTTTAAAATTCCGTGATAAAAGGGGGAGGAAAAAAGACTCTAACAAGAAGACTAACATTGTCTAACAAGAAGACAATTTATTTTATAAAAAGTTTTGTCTGACATGTTTGTATTCATGGTCACTATTGCTTTAGAAAAGCAGTAAAATGAGCAATGGAAATGTTTAAAAAAATATTTCTTGTCTTTAAAAATGTTAGCTACATTAAATTGCAGTGGTTACTATGTACGATGTGCTTATTGCAGCAACAAATTTAAAAGCTTTTATTTTGTTTTTCAGGACAAGCACCAGTTATTGTGAATCTAGAACCACTGATACAGCAGCTGCCAACTCCCACTTCTGCACCTCCCAATTCACAGGAAACTTCCTGATCAGAAATGTTTTTTGTATCATTCATGAATTTTTAAAGGAATCAACCGAGAAACAAAATTAAAGTACGAAAAATAAAATAAAAATATTTGTGGCGATGATTTTAGTTTAGTTTCAATGAATTCTTATATCAAAGATGAAGAAATTTAGCTGTACGTTCATTCAGGATACATTAGATTAAAGTGTTAAGCTTAAGATTGAGCTGACATTGGAAGAGATTAAAATCGTCAAATTTAACAGTTGTTACCATGTAAATACAGCTCTATCGAATATAAACGAACAAAGAGAGAGAAATAATTTCATGAATTTTTCTTATTTCATTGAAAATAATTATCTTCCTTATTTCACAGATCACAGGATCTCGTCCTTCAACAAGTTCCTAACTGTTAATTTATAGGTATTTTTGTCTGGTCCTTTTAAGATTTCGCAAATATGGAGAAATTGAAACATAGAAATTTCTCATAGGTAGTCTTGACGTTACTGCCCACATCAGAAAGCATAAATAAGCTTGGCATGCATTACTGCACAGGTAATCCCTCCAGATAGCCCTAGTATGCTTTGCCATAATAAACTAAACCAAACCAAACCAAAGAATACCAAACCTCCATCATCGGAACCAGATTCAGAAATGTATCTATGTATGCATGTTTATATGCATGTATGATTATACACTCATGTCCATAAATTAAGGATAATTCGGAGTTACGCGGAAATCGAACTCTAAAATAAATATATCACATGTAAAATCACTACACACATCTTCAAGAATCATATGCAAATTTCAGGAAGTAACCAGATGACACCGATGGTACGTCACAATGACGAGAGTGTAAGAGAGTGATATATAAGGAATACAGGCAAAGAAGCAAAATTGTTCGCAGGCGCTCATAAGCATTTCAGTGCAACAACCGAATAGTTATGACACAAAGGATGCATTTGAATGATTTTTTACGTGGTAGAATTATCGGCCGTCTGGAATGTGGGCGTACCCAACTGGAAGTATCAGACGAACTTGGAATTGCCCACAGTGTCGTCTCCAGGCTTTGGCAACGATTCCAAGATGATGGTAATGTCAGTAGACGTTACAGCACAGGTCGCCCCAGAGTTACAACGCCGAATGAGGATCGGTATTTGGCAGTTACTGCCAAAAGAAAAAGGCGGAGCACAGCCTCAGACCTGTCTCGTCAGCTCTCTTCAGCCACTTGTACGACAATTTAAAGGCAGACCGTGTACAGACGCTTAGGGCAGATTGGTCTATATGCTCGTAGACCTATCAGATGCGTTCCACTTACTGCAACTCACTGTCACCTGCGGTTAGCCTGGAGTAGAGAGCATGCATTGTGGACACCGCAACAGTGGGTTTGTGTGATGTTTTTCGACGAGTCCAGGTTTAGCTTGCAGTCTGATTCTCGCCGGACTTTCATATGGAGAGCTCCAGGTACCCGTTACGACCAAGAAAACATCATTGAATGACGGTGGTGCTAGAGTGCTCGTTTGGAGTGGAATTATCCTGGGTTCCAGAACTGACCTGCATGTTCAAATTGGAGCCATGACAAGCCAAATCTATCGGGACGTCATTCTGGAACAACATGTACGTTTGTTTCGGGGCGCCATGGGCGCACAATTTGTGTTTATGGAGGACAACGCCCGTCCTCACCGTGCAAACATCGTAAGCAAATGCCTTCAATCGGAGGATATCACCCGTATGGACTGGCCAGCAATCTCACCGGACTTGAATCCAATAGAGCACGTGTGGGATATGCTTGGCCGACGAGTCCGTCAACCTCCTCCTACATGTCTACCGGAACTTCGGAGAGCATTGCTGTTTGAGTGGTGCAATATCCCCCAAGATCAGATCGATAATTTGTTACTCAGCATGCCTAGGCGTTGTATGGACTGTATTGCATCGTCTGGGAGACATACAATGTATTAACAATCATGCCAACCATGTAATATTGGTTTTTTGTAAATAGGTTTCTTTTTGTAATTTGCTTCAGGGAGAAAAAATCGCTAATTTTTTTAATAATATCAAACATATAGCATCTTTTTTTGCTCTTTACCTTTTGTTTAATAAATAAGCTTTACCAATAAGTGAAATTTGTTTTGCTTCTAACTCTCCTTTGCTTATTTTGCATTATCCTTAATTTATGGACATGAGTGTATATGCATGTATATAGGCGTATATATGCATGCATGTAAGCATATTTACATATATATATATGCATACACGAACACCTACATCCATACATACATGCATACATATATTTCTGAATCCGTGGTGCCGGTTAACAGAAGAGTACTGCTGTATCAATGGGCAGTTTCTGTTCAAAGTTTTACTACACATATGATCTTTTATAATTCAATCTGAAATGAAGCTAGAACTTTTAAATCGTCGATAGAAAAGCAGAGAACAACAAGAGAACAAAATCAATTTTATTTTGTGCATCGAATACAAAAAAATAAAAAAACTTAACAGAATTGGAATAAAATTTAAATATACCAGGAGTTTTAACGTAAAACATTTTAGATTACCCAACATACAATCAGACAAAAAACAGGACCAAGCACAACAAAACTCCAATAACAGCTGTCAGATGCATAGATGGGAAAAACATGTTTATGTCCAAATTGATTATATTAATGAAAATAGGCAGTATATATGCGGCCTAGAATATTTTGTGATGTCTGTAAGAACGTATATAATAGCTCATCTTAAAATATCTCCAAGAATTTTGGCAATATATTAAAAGTACATAAATCCAGGTATAAAGTACTATTAAAATCAAGAAATAATTCTTTCTCATGGTAGTTTCGGAAAATTTGTGATTTCTTGGCGTAAACCCTGGCCGGTCAGAATATGTTTAGTTCAGAAAGAAGCCAACCAAAGTAAAACATAAAATTAAGCCAAAGCTTAAATTAAGCTTGTGTTTGGCGTAATTTTAGTCAAGACTCAAATCAGATTTTAGTCAAGATCTGACTAAAGTTTACTCCAAACGCAAGGCTGTTGCTTTGCCTAATTTAATGCGTTTAGTTTTCATCTGCCAAGCAATTTGCAAAATTTTAATTTGTTCATGAGCTAAAATTAATCATTATTATCATCTTCAATAAATGAGTAAAATAAATTTGTTTTCAGTTTTAAAATCCCTGCGTCCAATATGTTTTTCAAAGAAGCAACCAAAGTAAAACATTTGCCAATTTAAATGCTTGTGTTTGCGTAATTTTAGTCAAGACTCAATAGATTCTATCAGACGCAAGCTTTCTGCCAAACGCAAGGCTGTTGCTTTGCCTAATTTAATGCGTTTAGTTTTCATCTGCCCAAGGAATTTGCCAAACTCATTCATTTAAAATTTCTTTCATTGAGAAATAAAATTTTTCATTAATTTTGTCATTAAATGGAAAATTTTGTTTAAGTATCATTAAAATCCCGCGGTCAGAATAATTTTATTTCAGAAAGAAGCCAACCAAGAAAACATAAAAATTAAGGCAAAAGCCTAAATTAAGCTTGTTTTGGCGTAATTTTATCCAAGACTCAAAAAAAGGTTCTAGTGCCAAAATCTGCCTAAATTTTACGCAAAACGCAAGGCTGTTGCTTTGCCTAATTTAATGCGTTTAGTTTTCATCTGCCAAGGAATTCATGACTAGAACTCAGATTCATTTAAAATTTCTTTCATTGAGAAATAAAATTTAATCATTATTATCATCTGTCATATAAATGAGTAAAAATAAATTTGTTATTCAGTATCAGATAAAATCGTACCTCGAAATGAGAGGCTAAGTACGATTTCAGCTTATATCTGATATATAATTTTTTTTAAATAACTAATAACAACTATGAAAATTCATCAAATATTTTATTTCATTTTATGTCTGAAATTCTGCTGACATTATGAGTACGGACAGAACTACATTTTATGTAATGCTTTATTTTATGCAAATAGAACATATACAAACGTAACAGTGTATTGCGTTCCACCGTTTCGGGGATTTGGAGTAATTGATATTAATACTTGATGAAGAATCAAAACACAATTTATTCGCCAGTAAGAACTATTAAACAGGACATTTTCAAAGATACGTTTACACTCGTCGAAAAACTACGACAAACACGCTGAAACAATCAGCAACTCAGCCTTCAGGCTATAACAGTGAAGTCTCTTCACGGCAAAGCACTAAATTACAGCTCCCAACTCAGTCGATCGCTCTCAAGCTAATCTCTGAACTCAAGACACTACTACTGTACTTTCTCCCAGGACAGGCAGACTATCTAAAACTTTAACCAATGTTTCGGGAAGTTTCCCAAGAAAACCGCTAAAAATGAGTTCTAGAATGTTCTCGACCCATCTATGGCATATCCCCTAATATCGTCAAAATGGGCGCTTAAGCGCCAAATCTGACAACCCTAAGCCCGCCGTTGACTCACGCTTGTTCAGACGGCAGACTTCTTTCTCCGTTTCGTTGCAGAAGCTTCGTTTTCGACCCGCTTTGCGGAGAAGCTATCTCTGCCAATGATTAAACAATGACTATCCACCACACTTCTCCATATCCATATCTACGAATGCAATGCTTCATTTTATGTAAATAGTACATACATTAATGTAGCATAAAAGTAAGTCCTCATCCTTCTTCAAGATTTGAAACAGTAAGTGGCCAAGAAAGTAACTTTGTTCCGTTTGGGAATTGTGCGTTTATTTCTTTCGGCGGTGCTTTCCAATCTGTCGACAACAACCACTTACTGGTGTTAAAAAATAGATACGCCACTGTTGCTGTATAGCTATAAGTTGTGAACCGTGTAAAAAATGTAAGTTATCTAGAGCTTATCATTAACCAAAGGTTCATATGAAATTGTCATAAAACACGTCATAGGAAAAACCTGTGGTATCGCTAACCAACTTTCTGTACACCTTGGAAATTATTCTGGTCTGTCTCAATAAAAAGAGAAGGATATACCTATGCATTATAACTCCAATTCTACGCTATACATCTGCAGCTTGAGTGTTAGCCTCAAAGGCAGACTTCCATAACCTCAGATAGTACAGAATAAGATTTTGAGAATAATCGTAAATGCAAATTACCCGATTAGAAACAAACTGATCCACGAAGA